GAGTTAGGTGGGCGAGCAAAACACCCAGAAAGACCACAGAAGAATGAAAATAGCTCCAGGCATATTCTGTACAATTTTAGTTATAATCCCACTCTTCTAGCTTTTTTTACCAGCCTAATTTTTGTAAATAAAAGTATATGTATATACAAAAAAAAAAAATAGAACTGCAAATTTTCTAAATAATTACAACAACTAAATTGAAATCATAGGGAAATGATGGGAAAATAGATTATGATAACAAATAATAATCTATTGTCTGGATTTTATGATACAAGAATCTATTCCCCTACAGATATTCTTATATTATAGTTTCCTGATCAAAGAGTGACTGAGGACAGTATTGATCATACTGCATTTTGATTTGGGGTTCTGGGTTTGTTTTGAAGCAGATAAAAACTGCTGCCATAGGAAGAAAGAATTTTATTACAGAATTTATAATTTATACCACAAATAGAGACATAATAATGCTTTTCAAATTGGATGGAGGTAATGGTAGGTATATTACCAATAGGATGAGTTCTGGAGAAATGGAAAAGCTCTATCTCAGATAAACAGAAGTATTCCCATCCCTGGATCCCTCTCATCTCATCTACCTTACCCGGGTAGATGCAAAGGCGTGCTTTAAAAATTGGATTGAGAGCAGCCCTGAGGAGAAGGACTTGGAGGTGTTCATGGACAAGAAGCTCAACATGAGCTGGCAGTGTACGCTTGCAGCCCAGAATGCCAAACATATCCTGAGCTGCATCAAAAGGTGTGACCAGCAGGTCGAGGGAGGTGATTCTCCCCCTCTACTCCTCTCTTGTGAGACCCCCCCTGGAGTACTGCATCCGGCTCTGGGGACCCCAGAACAAGAGAGACATGGAGCTGTTGGAGTGAGTCCAGAGGAGGGCCACGAAGCTGATGAGAGGGCTGGAGCACCTCTCCTGTGAGGACAGGCTGAGAGAGTAGGGATTGTTCAGCCTGGAGAAAAGGCGGCTCTGGGGAGATCTAATTGTAGTCTTCCAGTACCTGAAGGTACAAGAAATCTGGAGAGGGACTGTTTACAAGGGCATATGGGGTTTCTTGGACCATACCCCATGTTTACAGGACAAGGAGTAATGGCTTTAAGCTGAAAGAGGGTAGATTTAGATTAGATATTAGGAAGAAATTCTTTACTGTGAGAGTGGTGAGGCACTGGAACAGGTTGCCCAGAGAGGTTGTGGAGGCCCCATCCCTGGAAGTGTTCAAGGCCAGGTTGGATGGAGCTTTGGGCACCCTGGTCTAGTGGAGGGTGTCCCTGCCCATGGCAGGGGGGGTGGAACTAGATCTTTATGGTCCCTTCCAGCCAAAACCATTTTATGATTCTATGATTAAGAAGGCTAAAGGATTCCTCCCTTTTGCTTTCTAAACCCTGGTCAGCAGATAGGGGTTCAGAAAGGTCATCTGCTGATAGGAACACACTGTTTTTATTCTTTTTTAGTGCTAATAGTGCTTTGCAACCATTCTGACACCATATCATCACCATCTTTATATCAGAGATTTGGTAGTGTCACATCTCTATGATGTATTCAGCCTGATGCAGACGCCTGCTGGGTCAGCAAGACAGATTTTTCTCGTGGACAGGATGGATGGCTGTGGTTTTGTTTGTTTTGTTGAAGGACTTAGAGGATTTTTATTCTTTAACTGCTTACAATGAGGGCCAACTTTTCT